AAAGAGTTGTGTCACCAGGGCTTAAAGCTTTCTGTTTTTATTGGAGAAATTTAGTCACTGGCTTTTTTACTTAAGAAAATTTTGGTAAATTAATAAGTGATTCTTTAATACTTGCTGGTTCAATAACGATTATATAGCTTTAATGAGCCACTGTGTGTGGAAAAAATATCTCAATAGATGTATGTGTTCTACTCCTGAGAGGCTGATTTTTTTTTCAGGATTAGAATGGATGGACTTCCTTGTCACATACAACAGTGCTGGCTTGAAATTTTTCTGGCATAGTTGTATGAGCCTGAGCCCCAGCTGCTTCTGACCTTATAGAGAACCATTACCACTGCTGAGCCTGGCAGCAGAGATGGGTCTTTGCCCTGGAGACATGTTTTTCTCCACCTGAAAATGATATAGAGTGTTTATTCTTAATTTGACTGTGTTCTTAGAGACTTGAACCTTTTCCTAGTGGTTTATGAGACTCTTTTGTGATTCTCTCTCTCTCTCTCTCTCTCTCTCTCTCTCTCTCTCTCTCTCTCTTTCTCTCTCCCTCCTCCTGTCTTAAAAGCATTCCTGTGGTGATTGCTATTCTCACAGCCTATGGTTGACATCCCGGACATGACCCATACAGGGGTCATGTTCCAGTATATTGACCTGTAGCCAGTGGTTAAACAGGAAGCACTAGACTCTGACATTAATAATAAAAGAAGATCTTGGGCTAGCATAGAGGTTAGTGGTGGGGAGCTTGACAAGTATTCACGAGTCTACAGGTTAAACCCCCACATACACCAAAAGAGAGAAAAAATAAAAAGAAGATATCATTACTCCAATTTTCTAATGCTCTGGTTTTTTCATTCAGCAAGAAGCTGACTGCTTTCAGGAGAATCAAGAGCCTAGACTGCCATCCTTAGATGACATTCCTTTACAGAGACTCAGATGACAAAAAAAAAAAAATGATTGTGGAGCCAATAGGCAGCTCCACTGGAGTAGGAGACAGTGTGGAATGTAACTAGGCACAGCCCCAAGGGTTTTCTTTCTCTGACAACTGTGAGATTTCCCCTACCACACGACTTAAGAACAAACAGCTTCAAACACCGTTCTACATATCAGAGTGCAGTGAGCAGCAGCAAGAAATGCCTAAGTCTAATCTCAAGATTCACAGTGCAATGGTATCACGTCCCGTCTGCCATTTCAAAATGACCAGAACACCAAAAAGATGCCATCTGTGGAATTTCATGGCTGCAGAACTATGAGTCACCCACTTCAAGAGGATGCTGAATATCTCCAACATGTCACTCTTAAAATTGGACTAGGTCTTCTTTCCTCAGTTGGAGGAGGAAGAAAGGAAGCCTCAGTGCACTCTGATGGCTCAGCTGACTTTTGGCGGAGGGCAGAGAATTTTGGACTGTAGCAAAAGCCAGGTGTAGCTTAAATAATACAGAGAAGCCAAGAATGGGGCAGAGGCTCCAGATCTTAATTTCGGCAATTCTCCGGTGGTCTCTTTTCCTTAACGAGGGAGAAAACTATCAAAACCAACTGTGCCACCTATGCCTAGGCCGAACTTAGGCTAGGATATCTAGCCATGATTTCTGGGTAGCCATCTCCCATCCATATTAGGCAAACTGAATAGTCAATGAATTAACTATGTCATCCCAGTATCTCTCTGATGGCCTTAACTTCCTTGTGTCAGACGCTGTGCAAATCTTAAGGGAGAGTATGTCCTTCCCCAGAGTTATAGCAGGAACTAAGAAGAGAACAGAAATAAAAACAGACAGAACTCTTACAGCTATAACAAGGAACAGAAACTCAATGGAGCAAATCTGCCAAGCAGATCCGTGGGCAGCACTACAGAGAATGCTGGGTCTCTCCGGCACATTGGGCATGATCTCCACACTGGGCACCTGGCCAGGGGGCTGCAGAATGCATGGCAGTGGACAGAAGGTCATTGGGAAGGAAAACTAATGCGTGTGTGGGACACTGAAAGGTTAAGTTGCTATAATCTCGAATGAAGCAAAGCAAGGTTGTCCATCCACTGGGTTAAATCACTGTACTGAAAATAACTCGGGAATAAAGAACCCCGAGAAGGCTGGTCACAATATTGAATGTCAAGCTGCTCACCAGAGACATGACCACAGGGTGCATTAAGTTCACAGACCTTGTGTTTCTCAAACTGGAGCTGCCAACGTCTGCCAGTACTAGTGGAGAAAGACCAGAAGGGAGGGCAGGTGGCAAATTTTTAGCCCTGTGGCCACAGGACTAATGGCCAGGTTCAGATAGCATTTGCTGGCCCTACCTTGTTTCAGCTTCTCAATCCCTGCTCATCTTTATGAGTCTTAAATATTTATGCTGTACCCAAAGGAGCTTTACACCTCAGCAGCACATGAAGTTTGTTTTTCTGATTCTCAGTAGAATTAGCTTCCCGGTCACAGCACCTTTGACCATTGCGGCTTCAGCATGCTGGATTATTTGGTCCTTAAATCTTTACACCACATCTCTCCTAGATTGGGTCAAACATTACAGGTTAAGCATCACCTAGCACCCTGCTCAGGAGCTCCAGGTAAACTCAGGGGTGCTAGACACCCTTCATGATGCTAGTCAGAATGGCCTCCAGGAGTGGCATCTGTGGAGTATATAATCTATACATTTATTTTCCATCATTGGCACTCACTTTCTCAGACTCAGAAATCAAGGTACGGAATTAATTTAGTGGAGGATACCTAATGGTTATGTTTCAAACAGTGCAGGCACTGCCCTCTGCACAGATATTCTGGAGGCGTGGTTGGATTTTTCTTTGGAAACAGTGTCCTAACTCTTTCCCTTTTCCTGACCCATTCTCTTCAGTTCTTCATACAGAAGTTACTACCTTTCCCTCCTACCTCCAAGTTACTGCTCTAACTATATTTATTTCTAAGCTGAGAATACAACAATTCTCTTTTTCTGAACTTTAAGCCCAAATAGGGGATAGGCTCCCAAGTTGAAGAACAAGAAAGAGTTGTCATACATTGTGTGAGGAAAGATATGGACACTGAACAAATTTACTCCAGTTTGTCATTTATGTTCTAAAGAAGAAAAGGCTGAAGCTTACTGATGTGATCATTTTCTCTTTTCAGGTCTTAGATTGGCACTCTTAGTTCCTATTGCCAAAGGATTGTAGTTTAGGCACTTGCTTTGGGAAGACAGGGACTTCACTGAAAGTCAAGGCTTTTTAGGAGAGTCATTACTGAGGCACAAACACCCACTGTCCCCTTTTGCCTTGTATTAAGCCCACTGTCCCCCAGGACTGCTCATCTCCTCTGTGAGCAGGGTCACCAGTGCAGTCTTCTGGGGACAGGGATTCCATGTGCAAGAGAAGAGACTGCCAGCCATCCCTTTGGTGACAGGAGGAACTTCCTTTGGGGAGTTTGGGGAGTACAGAGTGAAAGGAGTCAGCCAACCAACTGTAGAGAGGGGGATCCCCAGGGTCCCTACACCAGGGGAAGCTTCTTTACCAGGACAGAGACAGGGGAAGGGGAAGAGGTCAGGCAAGGTGGAGCTATTATTCCTCCAGCACCCTGGCTCCCAGCCTGCTTTCCTCAGATGAAATTCTCTACATCATCCTCCCCAGTTCCAACCCCTCCCCTCTCCACCCTGCCCCGCCCTGTGCCCATCCCTGCTGGCCACTGGGTCCATCGCCCAGGAACCACCTCCCCTTTCTCCTCCCCTGCGGTTCTTTCTGTTTTTTTTTTTTCTTTTTTTTCCCCCCGTTGGCATCTGGCCGGGCATAGCCACCACCCTCCCTCTACTCTCCCCACTTCCCTTTGCTCCGCAGAGGTCCTGTTCCCATTCCTCTTCCCTTCCCTTCCCCCACCCAGCCCACCTCTGACAGGCCAAGAGCGAGAGGAGGAGGATGCATTCCTTTAGTCCTCCCTCCTCCGGGGACCTGAGGCTCTAAGCTGGGGTACCCTTCTTCTTATCTCTACACACTTCTTCAAGCCACCCCATTAACCAAGAACAGTCCTTAAGAAGGCTGAGGTGCCCCCACAGCGCTGACCTACATAGCCTGGCCTGGGGCGGGAGGGGCTCTTCCCCAAGTCCCCTCTCCCTTGGCCCCGCCTCCTTTCTTCACCCCCCACTCTTTTCCTTCACCTCTTTACCTTTCCAAACCCAACAAGGGTTGAGTTGCAGACGGGGGCAAAGAGGCTAGTCTGCTACCCCGCCCTAAATTTGGGGAAACTGATGCTCAGCTCAGGAAAGCTTTGGGCTTCCTATCGATCCTTCTCCCCAAATATCTTGCTCTCTTTTTTTTGCTGCCCCGCACCCAAGTATAGGTTTCCTTTCCCAGATTTTGCCACCACTAGGACTAGAGCCAAACTGGGGCCCCCTCCGCCCAGTGTTGTTGTTTTGCTTCAAGGAGAAGCCCCTCTCCTTTGCCCACGCCCCCCTCGACAGCCTCACCCAGGCCCCCTTCCCTGCCCACTCAGAGCTCCGCGGCGGGTGGGGAACGCGCGGGGGAGCAGAAATGTTTGCATGCAGCAGTTTGGGGGATCGTTCTGGCCACCCAACCCCTACAGACATACATACACAAACACCCAACACACGCCCTGACTGAAACAGCGACAAATCTCACTCCGCCCCCAACACACACTGACACAGACATACACACAGACTCTGACACAGAAACGCAGCACCAGACACCAACATAGACGCGCACACCCAGACACACACGGACATCAACACTTCCAGACCCCGGCTGCTCCAAATAGACAGCAACCCCCCGAGATCCAGACCCCTACTGCACACGCAGACACACACACAGTCGGCTCTGTACATAGAAGGGTGCACACGCCGGCACACCCCACGGTCCTCAGAGACAGCGATGCTCAGAGACAGACACAAGGGTATTCCAAGAGGCTGGCGACTTGAACCCTCGCTTCTAAACAAAGCCAGCAGGCTCCCTGCTCCCGACTCCCAATCTGAACCCCCACCTCGGGGCATTGGTCACCTCTCCTGGCGCCGCCCCCTCCCTCACTCACCGTCCTGGGAAAGATTGGCCCCGCCGGGTGCCCAGGAGCAGGCGAAGAGCAGGAGCAGGGGCAGGGCGGAAGGGGCCCCCATCGCGCTTCCTGGCCGCCTCCCCGGCTGGGCGCTGGCGAGCCTGGATCTCCGGGGACTGGGGCCGGGGGCACTGAGTAGACGGCGTAGCTGTCCAAAAGGGCGCCCCCGGAGCGGCTTCCAAGCCCGGGGCCGAGGCGGGTACCGGGAGGGAGCCGGCGCTGCTGCAGTCGCCGGGATTAAATAGGGCGCTCGGAGCAAACCATTCGGTTGGAGGTGGAGGGGGGGTGACGGGGGGCTGGGCTGGTGGCGGGGGGGCCTGGATGCCGCATTCCCTACTCCCCCCCGCCTCCCACACCCCCTCCGCGCTTTTGTGGTGCGTTCCATCTTCTCCCCCGGGAGCTCCTCCAGCACCACTCGGGTGTGGAGCAAAGGAAGGGAGCTGGCTCAGCAATGGGACCCCACGCGCACCCCTCTTGGGCTTGGGGTGGAGAGAGGGGAGGTGGGCAGGGCGGTGGGCCAGCTGGCGAGAGCGTCCACTGCAGGCCTGGGCAAGGGCGTGCCCACTAGCCTGAGATCCTCCGGCTCCGCCTTCTCCTTAGGCAACCGGGATCCCCAAAGCTAGGGCACCCCTATCAGCAGTGTGGCCAAGTATACCTCCCCAGGGTACCTACTTACTCAAGCCTTTCTCCTAAGCTTAGCCTTCTTAGTTCCTCTTCTTCAAGACCTTCTACTTGTCCAGCAACAATTTGTGGCTCCAGGTAACCTCCTTTGCCAAGCAGACCCAAGGAGGTCACTGGACTAGATCCCTCTCAAGTCTTCTTCAAAGACATCACCAAAGAAATGTCCTGCAAAGTAACTCCAAGTTTCTCTCCTCGATACCCTCTTTAGCCCCAGGTAGCCCTTCAATACCCCCTTCTTCTCAGACTTCCAGAGATTCTCATCTTCTCAACTTTTAGCTAGTAAGAACCCACCGTGAAAGGCAGACCCACGAATGCCTCTGTGGTCTCCAAGGCTATATAGAAGATGCTCACTTCCAGGAGTCCCAAGTCCCCAGTGTTTGCTGTTCTTGCAGGTTATCTCTGGGAGAGTTTGTTTTGTTTTGTTTTGTTTTTGTTTTTTTTTGGGGGGGGGTATGTTTCAGAAAAGGATCTTTCTGTGTTAGTTTTGTCGGAATCTAGCTTTGGGGAATGAATTCCTAAATTTTAGAATCCTAGAAATCAGGCAATTTTAGGTATGTTAAGAGTTCTTTAAAAATAATAAACCTGATCTAACTTAAGCCAGGTTTTATATTCACTCAACAGCAGAAGACACAGCAGTGAGCATCAGAGGGAAGAGTATATGGTGCTTCATTCTAGAAGTGAGATGTGGGTGTCTCTAATAACGCCTGCAGCCCATTCCCCATGCTGCCTTCTTGTGCTAGCCTTTAATGTTTGAGTAATCTTTCTGTCCCTATGTCAAGGTTTCTTAGTTCTGGATGGTGATGTAGTTAATGTCCCTGTCATCTAAGAACCTGAGGACAGCCTGCAGAACATAATCTGTAACGGGTAAAGCCTTGTCTAAATGACAAGCAGTGAAGTTGGGGCTGAGACTATACTGTTCAGGGAAGCCTTCAGGCTGGTCTGGGTCTGCTCTGATATTTTTCTCTCACTATTTCTGGACTTTATAGTTTCTAGAGAAGAAATCTGCTTGCCTCTTGGACATTTCTTGACTGTCTGGGTGGTTATTATTTTTTTTTCCTAGATAATTTGACCTGTGTTGGCGACTCTGACTCATTTTGCCTCCCATAGCTCTCTACTATTTTGAAATCTGAGCAGTGACAATGGAGTAACATACAGGGTAGGGACGTGGAGACATGGATGTAAGAGGAGAGGAGGTTAGACAGGGTAAGGAGAGTTTGTAGGAAGATTATACTTCTTGATGGAGGTGGGACCAGGTTGGTCTGGGGTTGGTTATGATAAGAAAAGGAAGGAATATGGTAAACCATAACAAAACCCAACAACAAAACAAACTGTCAGCCTCAGTGGGAAGGATCAGGCTTTTCTAGTTAAAGGCTCTTGATGGATAAAGAGTGTTTGAGCTACGAGAAATGTTTAGCCTTGGATTTAGAGAGGATAGGGTAAGGGGTGTGGAGGTGAGTTAGGTGGGGGTAGGCGGGATGTGGGATTAAGTCCCGAAGTCCTTTAATTAGCCATCTTTTCCATCTGGTGCTTTGCAGGATCCTCTTCTGCCTGTCCTTAATTCTCTGATGACTTGCGGCTCTGGCCCCGCCCTCTACTGTAAGGGGTGGGTACCAGGGGTGGGAGGAAGAAGGAGAGCTGTTTTGGTGAGGCACTCTTAAGGCTAGCAAATGGGACTCTGGGATGCTCTTTTCCTACTGGCTCTTCTTTCCTTCGTCGCGTCATCAGGATGAGTTTGGCAGCCTTTTAGATCTTGGTAATATGAAGTTGCCGTTGACTTTTAGAGTTATGGAATAAAAATGTATTAGAGCTGCAAAGAACCTTGAAGATCATCCTTTTAAACTGGGTCTTTGTTGAACAGATGAGGAAAATGAAGCTCAGAAGCCAAATGGCTTTCTGTGTTCAATATCTAGCTAGTGAAGGCTGACAGGACTGGGTGAGGGACAGATAGTAAGTACCGTTTGAAGTCAAGAAGGATGAGGAGGATCAGACCCAGGAACAAAGAAAAACATCCAGTTTGAAGAGTTCCCTTCTCCTGTTTACCTCAGAATGGTAGTTTCTCCTACAAGGAATGTATTCCACTTAGAAGAACCCATTCTCTACAATTCTTCCATTGCCCTGTCTGCATCAGCCCCTTGAATCTTACAAGCATGTCATTTGCTTAGAAAAAAAGAGCCTTACAAAGAAAGACTGACCTATAAGGATTATCCGATCATAAAAATAGGTAGAACGTAAGTATCTATGTTGGATTGTGATCTCTATGGTTACTCCTCACTTGAAAATGCTATGACATACAATTTGCATTTCCCAGAGACTTGCACAAGGTCTGAGATGGATTGTCTGTGGGATGACAGAGCTGGCAGCTACAGGGAAATTTGGGGAGAGTCAAGAAGGGGAGTGGAGAGAGGGTGAGCGTGGCCTCCTGCATGCCCCTGTCCACTCAGCAACAGCCTGGGTATCTGGGGGTGTGGAATGTGATACTGGCACCGATGCCGGGCTAGACACAGCTGTGTGGGCCCTGGGCATTCCTTCCCCACGCAGCTTCTGCTCAAAGGGGAGGGAGAAGGAGCTTAGCTTTTAGAGGGCGAGTTTTATGTGTTCCTCTGGGAGGGACCAGCAGCACCTATAGGGAAAAACACATCTGAGAATGTGTACCTTGACAGTCCCTCAGATTCTTCCTCGTACTCTGACCCTTTCCTTTTCTGTGACTTTTATTAGATGACTCTATGCAGGTCCCTACCTACACTGCTTTCCTCTTCAATTTTCCACCCAACTAAACCAGTACTTGGCTGTACCACCCCTTACTTCTATTATCCAGTTTTAATTAACACCATCCTTAATAATAACCTCAGAACGAATTTTAATTCTAACCTTAATTGAATTCTAATTTTAATCCTAACCCTAATCTATTAAGGATTCTAACTACCAGTCCTAATAACAGCCCCAACTTAATTATCAATTTTAACTAGTATCTCCATTGGAACCAGGTTCGAGCCGGCAAGCAAGAAAGCAACATGCACAGGGTAAAAAATGGCCACAGATCCCAGGAATTACGAAGCCATCATTTACAGCCTTCATGCTGAGTGCTTTATGCACACAGTATCTCATGTGGGTACCAGCAGCTACCTAATGTGGTTGAATTTATTACTTCCGTTACCATTGCAAAACAGGGTGTAACATGATTGTATTCGTAATCAGGGGATCCACAGCCAGGCCTGCTTGATCCATGACCCTGTGCTCACCTCCTGTCTGCCAACAAGTAATTTTGACCCATCTTCTCCTAAAATCTCAACTAATAACCCACTAGCTTGACTTCTACATATCATTACTGGTTTTTTGTTTTATTTTTAAGTAAGTAACAGAACAAAGTAGAGATGGAGCAAATTACAAAATCCCTGCATGTCCCTGCCCACAGACCCTATTGGTACTTGGAAACATTAATTTATTGATGAAGTTAAAATATTCAGACTATAGAAAGGAACTCACTGCAGAGAAAAGCCTTCTCGCCTTCGCCTTCTCGGAGTAGCCATATTGCACAACCCCAGGGGGCATCGTTCTAATTGGCGTTGTGTAACAGGGCAGCGCTGCCTCCCACAGTTTTCCAGGCAAGCAGATAAAGTCAAGGTAAATAGCTACCAAATTAAATCGTCCCCCCCCCCCGTGTGTGTGTGTGTGTGTGTGTGTGTGTGTGTGTGTGTGTGTGTGAGAGAGAGAGAGAGAGAGAGAGAGAGGAGAGAGACTTAGGGATAACAATCACTAGGCACTTGGAATTTATAATTAGCAATAACTACTAAGGGCCAGGTTCTCAGCTAAATTCTCTACACTTGTTACACAATTTAATATTCACATGTCCTTGCACAGTGCTCATCACCTCTATGACAGATGAGGATGGCGGGCCCGAAGAATCCCGGTTGCACCATGATGGGGAACGACACAAATCCAGGCCTCAAAGTCTACATTCTTAACTTTGTGCTTAGCTAGAAAAGCTGCTCAGAGCTTGGCTCTGAAGGTCATGTGGGCTTAGCTCTTAATGTCAGAGAAGCCGAGTTGCCTGACATTAGACAAGAGGATGACCTATGAGGCTGTCGATAGACTCAGATTGATATAGGAGGAGACTCTGTGAGGCAGAAGGGGCCGGGATTACTACATTACAGAGGGAAATGAGCAATACGTGAGGGAGCAGAAGAGAAACCGAAACAAATAGGAGCAGAGGCGGGGGAAATTGTTTTGTGATAAATTCAAGCAAAAATAAAATCATATAATAAATTTGTGCGTCACCATTGTTCCAGCTCCAGGCTGATTGATGTATTATGGAAAGACAGCAGACATATATAATCTTCTGCAAATGAAAATGTGCGTTTCCCGTTACCTGGGGATCGGTAGCCTCTCTGGTGGAGAGCTTCCACACTGCTCACCTTGATTCTGTGTTCCTGCAATATCAAGCTGCTTGTAATTCCCCAAACACACTTAGTTGTTTCATGCCTCAGTGTCTTTGCACATACCCTTCTCTATAGGTGGATTGCCCGTCTCATCAAGCCTGATGAAAATTGTGTTTATCCATCCAAA